GCATTAGTCTACTGGACTAACTTGTTCCAGGCATCTTCAGTTTTCATCTATCTTCTTTCCTCTAAACAGAGAGAGAGACCACTCTCTCTTGGTTACTGCTGTTAAGTGCCATCAAGTCAGTTCCAACTCACAGCAACTTGTATAGAGTTTCCAAAGAACAGATAGTGGGTTTGAACCACTGACCTTCTGGTTAGCAAGCCAGTGCTTATCATACACTACCACACCAGGACCCAGTCACACCTCAGATAGAAGGATTTTACACTATGGAGGCACTGGGTTAAGTGGTCTTCCAATAGTTACAGAATTAAGGTTTACTGCCTTTATTGGTTGATTGTCCTTCCTCCTATATCTGCTGCTTCTTTTCATTCAGAAACCCAGGGGTTAGCTACCTCCAAAAGCAAACACACTTCCTTCTTTCCTGCCCTGTACCAATGGTGTCTGCCTTGGAAATGACCCATCATAACATCAGCCAAACTGTAACTTAAGATAAACCAGTTTACCACCTAACCGTCAAGTCGGTTCCCACTTACGGTGAATCTGTGTAGGGTTTCTGAGACTGTAAATCTTTTGCTCCCATGCAGCAGCTACTGGGTTCGCCTACCAACCATGAGATATGCAATCCAGTGCTTATTGTACAGTGCCACTGTGCTCCCATTTTCATATTTGTTGTTGTTGTTAAGTGCCATAGAGTCGGTTCCGACCCATAGCAACCGTATATAGGTTTTCTGAGGAGCAGCTGGTGAGTTTGAACCGCTGACTTTGCAGTTCGAATGACTTTGCAGTCTGGAGCATTAACCCACAGCATCACACCAGGACTCCATTTTCATATTTAGGCTACAGCATATAAGCAAAACAGGGGTCACATCTCCAATTCCACCTATATCTATTTTTATAGAGGAGACAGAAATTCAGATGTAGGAGGCTGGTCTGTAATATGATGGAAATAAAGACATCTATATTTTCATATTGATGTTAAGAATAAATGATATAGTAGTTTAAGTCCAACACCTGGCACATTAAAAAACATCCCAAAACAATAACTACTGTAGTTATAATCGTTTTCAGCAATTGTCCAAAAATGGTACATGGCAAGGCATTTCCCATTTCTGTTTTGAAGACATCAAGTGGAAAAATGCATTTTTCTGTCTACTCAAATTTTGAATTGTGATCACTTTAACTTCTTTAGAAAGGACAGCCAGCATCCCAAGGCCACCAACAGTTTTCCTATCCTTTCATCCAGAAAAATGAGATGCCTTTCTCTTAGAGCTTTAAAGACTTAAAAGTCACACAGAATACCTAATTGGATATTGTTAACTGGCATCACACACATGCTTGATTAGACTGGCTTTAGCCCCTAGTCATCAAGACCCGGCAACAGTTGTAGTCTCAATAAAGTGTTGTCAATTACACACATCACCGTCTGAACACTTGTAAAAGGATTCCATGGACAGAGCAACCTAACAGCTTAGGAGAATGGGAAATCAAGTACTGAGGCAAATATAAAAAAGACAAAGACTAGATGCAATTTATCTACATCTTCTGTGACTTTATCCTAGACCAAAAGTAAGTTCGTGAAAATCATCTCTTGTGGTTAGAACTCAAGTGTTCAATAAAGACAGAAGGTCAGCAGCCCAGAGGAAAGCAAACGTCTCTCCTTTTGAAGGAAACTGACAAGGAGCAAATTATTTCGATGGTTATTTATTTAAGCTGCTGAAAATTAAGTAGTCAAATCCAAATAAACAGTAACTAGTCTTTTCATTCAATATTTACCAAGTGGATTCACAATGAATACCACTGATTCCCCCAAAAGCTCACAGAAGTTTCTGTTTGTTTTCATATTATCTCCTGCCTCTACCCCAAATCACATTACAAGAGTATCAGTGAAATTCAATTTTTTGTCTGAATATGTAAGATGATTTAACCATACTCTTGGGATAACAAGCAAAAAGATAAAAAAAAAAAAAAAAA